ACAAGACTGCATACTGTGACCTGTAAATATGACTCATCACAACAAATGATGGATGATTCTATACTGTAGTGTGACCTGGTTTTGTGAGCTAGTAGCGTGACCCGGTTGTGTGACCTGGTTATGTGAGTTAGAAGTGTAACATGTCTGTGTGAGTTTCTAGTGTGACCATGTTATGTGAGTTAGTACGTAACCCAGTTGTGTGACCTGGTTATTTGATCTAGTAGTGTGACCTGTCTGTGTGAACTAGTAGTGAGACCTGGTTGTGTGAGCTATTACTGTGACCTGGTTGTGTGTGAGTTAGTTGTGGCAAGGGTAAGAGTAAGAGACGTACCTACCTGCTCGGTGTGGGTGGTGAGGGTGGTGTGTCGGAGGTGCCAGGTGAATACAGCGGGGGGTCTGGAACCCGCCGCCTGGCACACCACGCTGTAAGGCCACCCGGCACTCAGGGCCTCGCGGCTACTCAGGAGACGCACCCACAGCGGCGGCACTGTCAGGTCAAGGCCAGATGTTTATTCACCATTAAATCCTTAATCAAAGTTACTACTTTTACTAAAGGTAATTATTTCATTTAAGATCAAATATTTATTCAATGCTAGGTCATATTAATAAGGTCAAAGTTTTAGTCAAGGTCAAGAACCTGCACTACCCAGGCGTCAGATTTTCACTAATACGAGTATTATGGGGGTTAAATTTTCTGCAGTTTGAGGTGTTGAGTTTCATGTAACTGGTTCAGTTAAGATACTGTACCATTCCCATGTGATGGGTAAAATAGCGCTGAAATTGTACTGCCACGATCATAACGAGGTGTCTTCTCTAACACGAGTTAGGGAAGAGATTTAGCTAACATATGTATTGGAGTACAGTTTCGATTCGTTGGAGTTGCCACTGTTATTATGTGCTAATACTGTACCTCGCCTGACTAATGGTGTAGGAATAGTCTTTGTCTATGCATGTAATTAGTGTCTCGTAAGTTGGCCGCACACCAAAGCGATAAGAACCCATAACTAAATCAGTGTCATGTTAAGTGACGGCTGTAATATGCGGTCTTCAACAGGAGCAATACACAAAGAAGCGCCCTGAAAGGGACGCGTCAGCGACTTGTCTGCAATAAACACAGCTTTCACTTTTTGATGTAACGTCGCTTATATACCTCAGCTCTGTTACCTCAGACACCAGCTGGGGAGATGATCGGTGAATAATATTAAGGACATCCAGAAAATAATTATAACCTTTTGATCAGTGTTTTGAACGTTAACGTTAAGTCATTTATAATTACCAGTGTATATATATATATATATATATATATATATATATATATATATATATATATATATATATATATATATATATATATATATATATATATATATATATATATATATATACATAGGAACCATAGAGATGAACAGGCGAGACAAGAAAAACATTGATTTTTAGTACAGGTAAGTTATTTTCCGTTGTTATTAAAGATGGAAGTGTAACATAACCTTTTGTTTTCACATTCAGGGTTCTTTCCCGCCAAGAACAAGGCGGCACGGGGCTAACAAAACATTCGTTTAGAAAACATTACATATTAACAGGCATCCCTCAGTATGAATTACTTTGCATTGCTTTGTGTCCGTAGTTATGACCGGTCAACAAGCTTTGATAAAATATGAAAAGTTATCTTGGACAGTCTGCTATTGAGCTAAAACTAACGTAGGTAAAGGATGAGACCAGCCATCACACGACACGCCAAGATACAGGATGAACGAGTATTTTAGTGGATGTTTTCAAAGTTATCTGTTTCTTCCCTCTTTTCTTATATTAACACCGTAAAACATCGGATCATCCTCATTCGTTGAAGGAGTCGTACAAGTCCCATTAGTGTGTGTTCACGCCTGCTAACGATGAGTCACTGATATGTCATAGACATTTCTCGTCTCTTTGGTGTGTGGCGGGACTTAGTGTGTGTCGAGAAGTTGACAAACAATACAGTATATTCTTAACTCGTTGCGCTGTATGTTGCAGTGAGTGTTGTTGTTTTAATATTATGATATTACGTAAGGTACATATTGAAGGTTGATCTTAAAAGTAGGGTAGAAAAACACATTGGTGGTGGCTTACGGTGCATGTCGAGGGTGACGGATGTTACAAGGGGCTGGGTGAGGTTGGAGTTCACGGCGCGACAGGTAAACACACGCTGCAGGTCTCCCCGGGTGAGGGTCGGCACCACTAACATACTCCTCACCTCCCCGCCCTCTTGTATCTCCGAGGTCAGGTCCAGGAGGTTCGACCCATCCCACCAGGTGATCCGGGGAAGCGGTGACCCTCCTGAGGCGCGGCAGCTGAGTCGGAGAGTGTCGCCCTCCTTGAAGGGCCCCACCACCTGGTGCACCAGGACGCCTTCATCAGTATAAACAGACAGGCGTCGTGGTGGAACTGGATGAAGTGAAAACAGTAACAAATGTGAGCTGTTGTCAAAGATGGACAATAAAAGCTTAATAAATAGAAAAATAACGCCAGATATTAAACCAAATCGTGTTCACACCACATATTGTACCAGCCTTTTATACCAGGACAACATACCCAGCTCACACCACATACTCGTACTGTACCAGCATTTTATTCCAGGACAGCAATCGCTGTTCATACTATACAGTATAACATATTGTATCACCTTTTTATACCAGTATAACATTCTATGGCTAACAGACTGTGTTAGTGGCTGACGCCATGCTGTACGTTTCCGAGCTGTCTCTGCTTGTCAGTCACTCACCTGCGGCGGTCCCTCAAGGCACAAAGTTGGGACTACTCTATTTCCTCGTCTTCTATCGACGATGCCCTAAAAGATGCTCCCGGTCGCCACCTTTGGCATCAGCGTGAGCAACTCGGCTCCGGACTGCAGCGCTCTCCTAAATACTGAACAGTCCACCACCAACCATGTCACCATCAACCGTATCAAGGCCATGGTTATGTACAGTAGCTAAAACAACTATCTGTGCATACTTTGTGGGAAACAATATGAGACCACGGACGATAAATTTTGGTATATTAGGGCTGTCACTAGTCACACGTAAAATTTCGGAGCATATCGACCCCCACCTGCACAGATAGTTGTTTTAGCTACTGTACATAAACTTCGCCTCTGGCTATGTCCTACCTCTCTCCACCACACTGGACCTCAACATTCTCCAGGTTGTGAATTCCACCAAATTCCTATGTGTCACCATAGATAACAAACTGGGCTGGAAAGTACACGTCAGTAAAACTGTCAAATCTTCCAGCTATCGTCTCCACATCCTCTGTCGTCTCAAGCTTCCATACCTTACTTGAGCTTCCCCTTAACTGACCCTGCCAACCCTCTCTGATCATCATCCTGGCACCATCTGTCAGGTTCGAACAAAGTTACTACACTATCCTCGCCACCGCCACCTGCTACCACCTGAACTGGTCGACACCACAACCGCATCCAGCCCATACGACCACCAACTGATCACTATATGAACAGGGTCATCCCAACCATTGTAAAAATCATCAACAAATTGTAGACAACTTGTGTTCACACCTTACCAATCTCCCTTTTGTAATGTAGCTTCGCTGAAATTCCTTGTTAAATGGCCCACTTCCCCATGTATTTATGTTATACTTTATAGTATATGTACCACTTGTGCTGTAATTTCTTTTCAATGAACTTTATTATTATTGTTATTTTTATTATTACCCAGTTTACATCACATTTCCAGGTACTGTGGAACTGTTTGCGGGTATAGCGAAGGTAATTGGTAAAAGTTGTAAATAACGCCCCAAAATACTGCAGTGTCTCTATACTTTAGAGGAAGTGGATACACTCGCTAGGGTGTTGGAACATGTCTGAGGTAAAGGATGGAAGTATCCTGTCCGGCTAACTGCTTTGTACCACGCCAGCATTTATAAATATGGAGGTTCCTACCACTTTTAGCCAGTCCTTGTTTACCAGTCGGGTTGAGCTGACAGAGGCTCCTAGATTGTACTTCCCACTTCAGAAAACTATATCTCCCTCCCCCTTTGCCGTGTTGTCTCCTGTACTGTATTGTGCTCCAGTAGGTGTTGCCAGTGTAGTGTCTGCTCCATTATTCATTATGTTGTGTTCTCAGGTTAATTGAGTTGTGTGATAGTCTTAGGTTTCGTTTTAAGTTGTTGTTATTATTATTTTATGTCCTTATGTTTAAGTGTTCGATGTCTTCAGAAACATGTGGTAGATGATGACTGTGGTGGTGTTACCTTTTGTCAAATATGTTTACTGCTGTTTTCTTTTATTACATTTGAATTTTAAGTAAATGACTTATTTTACGTAACCCGAGTTTGACGATAATAGTGATCATCGGCTTAATAGCCCTTAGTGCTTTGTTTTGGTTGGGTTAGGTTAGGTTAGGATAGGTTAGGTCAATTAAAAAACACCAAAATACACTAGAAAAATATTATCTCATACCAAATGGGAAAATTAGGATAATAACGAATTTTTACCTCCATTTTTTTCATGAACATTACTCTTTTATTCCTAGTACTTCACTGACCCAGTATTCATACTCTCATCATACGAGGGATATCATTGTGCTGAATCGTCTGGCATCACCCAAATAAAATATTAAAGTTGACGTCCTGTAGTGAATGAGTTAATATATATATATATATGATTGACTTGACACTTCTTTGACGCCTAGTACTTGAATAATTTAGCTGCATAGACAGACAGACAGACAGACAGACAGGCACAAGATACAGAACACAAATAAACTATTTTTTTTTAATACTGTGTTAACCCTTGAGAAGTCTGTTACCCCCTGTGAAGATTGTGTCACCCCTTGTGAAGATTTTGTTACCCCCTGTGGAGATTGTGTCACCCCCCTGAGAAGATTGTGTCACCCCCTGTGGAGATTGTGTCACCCCTGTGGAGATTGTGTCACCCCTGACAAGAAAATTGTGTCACCCCCTGTGGAGATTGTGTCACCCCCTCAGAAGATTGTCACCCCCTGAGGAGACCGTGTCACCCCCTGAGAAAACTGAATAACGCATTAAAGCTCTGGCATAACGCGAAACAACATGCGAATTCCTAAAAAAAAATGTTGCTGGAAGACTTAATTAGGATATTAGCCGAAGGTGGAATCGTCCTCAAGCAACATTAAGTAGTTTTTCCATCTGTTTTGCGACCTGGATGGTGGCGTAACAGAAAAAGGTGTTGGGTTCTAATATCTCACAACAAGGTGTTCGAATCCCATCGTACGAATATATTGGTTTGCACAAATATCAAAGTTATTAAAATCTTCAACATCAGGTGTATGTGAATTAGGATGAAATTATTTGATTGTGTAATAAAACATATAACATTGATCAGTTTTATCAGGATTATTAATGTATGCTATTTACATTTATATTACTGTGTGGGGTGAGTCAGTGTGATATTACTGTGTGGGGTGAGTCAGTGTGATATTACTGTGTGGGGTGAGTCAGTGTGATATTACTGTGTGGAGTGAGTCAGTGTAATATTACTGTGTGGGGTGAGTCAGTGTGATATTACTGTGTGGGGTGAGTCAGTGTGATATTACTGTGTGGGGTGAGTCAGTGTGATATTACTGTGTGGGGTGAGTCAGTGTGGTATTACTGTGTGAGGTGAGTCAGTGTGATATTACCGTGTGGGGTGAGTCAGTGTGATATTACTGTGTGGGGTGAGTCAGTGTGGTATTACTGTGTGAGTCAGTGTGATATTACCGTGTGGGGTGAGTCAGTGTGATATTACTGTGTGGGGTGAGTCAGTGTGATATTACTGTGTGGGGTGAGTCGGCGTGGTATTACTGTGTGGGGTGAGTCAGTGTGGTATTACCGTGTGGGGTGAGTCAGTGTGGTATTACTGTGTGGGGTGAGTTAAGTTTTGCCAGGTACAGTATGAAGTAAAATGTGCTCATGTAATTTTGACTCAAGGGTAAAACTTACTTTAATGATAATCACTAACCTGTTAAAAAAAATTATGAAATTAACGTAAATTTGCTTAATAAACCCTTAACCCACGACACACACACACACACACACACACTTACACACACACACACACACACACACACACACACACAGCTCTGAAGACCCCTTGAAATAAACACTATACATGTATCAGGTATGTAAACTTTACCTCCAGAAAAACTTAGTATCTCTGGAAAAGGTGCAGCTCAAAGCGACTAAGATGATTCCTGAGCTAACACCTAAATCTAATAGTTACCACAGTTAATCTTTACAAAGACGTGAGAAAACATTGCCAGCGAAGTTGTGAAAGAAGTATACATGTTGGCGTGAGACGAGGTTTTGTTGCTCATATAAGTTTTTCATCTTTGTAAGGACTTCCACCATCCCCATTACCCAAGTCACCTGTACTTCATGTTCACCTTCACTTACACTCCACTCCTCATTTTCTAACAGCCTTGGTTTTTACCACTTAAGGCGGAGTGAACCTCTTAGACCTGTACAGTACTGGGAGTGCTTTACGCTTCTTTTAAAAATCATCCGAATATGTTGGTCTCAGAACACCCACATCCTGTTGTACCCACTTCTCACGTTTACCAAATTTCGGGTGTGACACTACCAGGAAGGCCAAAGACTGATGACCACTCGTACGTGATACCGTCCCCATTCGTCTTAGTCTGGCTCATAAAACCCTCACCGTGTAGTATCCACACCTCGGCCGTCCCAAACCTCCCAGGTTAGTAGAGCGTAATATTGTTACAAAGGACAATGAAAGAGAGAGAGAGAGAGAGAGAGAGAGAGAGTGCCAGTACCCTCTAGCCCTGGTAGTTGGCACCTCCTGAGTCATCGTCTCTCCTGCAGAGAATATGAATGTCCGACCCTTTTCATCCCACTGAAGACCCATTCCTCACACTCTGGTCCTCTCCTTTCTCTTCGTGTCCTCCGCCGCTCCACGAGAAATGGAATTATTTTTCTTGCTCTTAACAGATTTTTATGTAAATTCGTGATATTTTACTAACTGTTTTATCTTTCACTTATAATATATAACTCCTGCTATGGTGTCATTTTTCTTCTTTCCTCTGGTTCTATATCACTGTATTATTCTTATAGCATATAGCATGCTTATACAACTGCTCTATTCTTATAACACACTTATACAACTGTATTATTCTTATAACACACTTATACAACTGTATTATTCTTATAACACACTTATACAACTGTATTATTCTTATAACACACTTATACAACTGTATTAGTCTTATATAGATAAATATTTATTCAGTAAAATCGTCACTCAAGTTTTTATTGATTCATCATGAATAAGTTGACAGTTCAGGTATAATTTACATAGTGAAGGTATAGGAAACCCATGGCTGTTGGTGTCATAATACAAACCTTATCAATGGTCAAAGCTTTCGTATAATAAATCAAGTATCAGTTGAATAACTCGGTAAACTTCACATTCGGTAAACGTCTCAGTTGCCACTCGGTGACTACTTTGTCAAGCGTCAAGACCATTCACCTACTGCTTGATGCAAAGCTTTCATTCAGTTAAATTATTATTTCAATCATCAACTAATCGATACATTATTTCTTTTTATCGGTTATCTTCTTAATTATTCAAATTTTGTCTGTTAGTAACATTTCTATACATACCATATAGAAATAAAGTAAAGAAGTAGAGGAGTCATGGGTGCAAAGTACTGGCTGTACTCGGTGGGCGAGGAGCGACTCTGCTGGAACCTGAGTCATGTCGGTGGGTTAAGTAGTGCTGTTACACACACACACACACACACACAAACACACACACACACAAACACACACACACACAAACACACACACACACACACACACACTGTCACTAGTGAAAAAGTCACGGAATACAATATCCTGCGTGAAGCTTATATTTTAAAAACAGACTTAACATCGAGTAGCAATTGTAATTTTGGCCAAAAACATTATCAATGTGAACTCTCACTGACACGTATAAAGGATCATACACACTGACACGTACAAAAGGTCACACACACTGACACGTACAGTACAAACGGTCACATACACTGACACGTACAAAAGGTCACACACACTGACACGTACAGTACAATAGCTCACATACTGACACGTACAAAATGTCACACTGGCACGTACAGAACAAAATGCCATGCACACTGACACGTACAGTACAATAGGTCATACACTGACACGTACAAAACATGACACGTACAGTACAAACGGTCACATACACTGACACGTACAAAAGGTCACACACACTGACACGTACAGTACCACACACCACGTCACTACAGTGGTCACATACACTGACACGTACAAAAGGTCACATACACACAGTGACACGATACAGTACAATAGCTCACATACTGACACGTACAAAATGTCACACTGGCACGTACAGAACAAAATGCCATGCACACTGACACGTACAGTACAATAGGTCATACACTGACACGTACAAAACATCAATCCCTTCACACATGTACGCCAACACCCTCGCTGTGTCGGACTGCAGATTGATGGTATTTATACTTAACAAAAACAATAGAACTTATTTATGAAGGGAGTTATACCTGATATAGAATCTGTCCTCTGTGACCTGTGACCCCTGACTCTTCTCTGTGACCTGTGACCTCTGGCTCTTCTCTGTGACCTGTGACTCCTCTCTGTGACCTGTGACCCTTCTCTGTGACCTGTGACCTCTGGCTCCTCTCTGTGACCAGTGACCTCTGACTCCTCTCTGTGACCAGTGACCTCTGACTCCTCTCTGTGAGCTTTGACCTCTGACATCTGGCCTTCTCTGTGAACCTTGACCTGTTTCCGTGACTATGATCTGTGAAGCATCAAGTACATAACGTCCGAGGTCAGAAAAAATACATTTCACCTTTCTGAGAGACACGTTGGTTTCTGGGGGAAGTGTGTGGATGATGGTGATGACAATGATAGTGGTGATGAAGGTGACGACCGCTGGGAGGTTGAGGGAACACTATGACAGCGAAGATAATGAAGGAGAATACATAACGAAGATGACAGATAGTGATGGTGAATAAGTTGCGACTTACTCATAAGTGTGAATTTCGTAGTAAGGATGTAACTTACTCATGGCAGCGCAAGGGTGACTTACTTATCACAGTGCAGGGTTGAGTTACTCATGGCAGTGCAGGGGTGACTTACTCATGGCAGTGCAGGGGTGACTTACTCATCACAAAGCTGGTGACTTACGGCAGTGCAAGGGTGATTTACTCATCATAGTGCAGGAGCAATTTGTTCATCACAGTGCAGAGGTGACTTACCCATGACGGTGAGGTTGGTGGTGAACGTGAGTGTGGGGTTGGCACGGAAGTCGACCCTGCACTTGTAGGTGCCCCGGTCTCTACCCAAGACCCCTCGGATCCTGAGATAAGAGGCGTGGCTGAGGGTGGAGGTGTCGTAGTTGGCGTTTGGGGAAGCAGTGGGTGAGGCGTGGAAAGGGACATGGGTGGAAGCGTGGAAGACAGCGCGGGTGCCTAGATGGTGCGGGCTCCTCCAGTGTGAAGCAAGACCCTCTCTCAAGTCGTAACTGAGGAGAAAAAAAAGTTTGTGTAAGAGCTAAGAAAACATTACCACCTGTCTGGGAGGGTGTGAACGTCTGACAACCTCGCTCAAGTTTGAGTGAGTCTCCCTTGTTTACACACACACACACACACACACACATACTATGACCGGCTTAAGTTTTGAAGATACAGAGCTGAATTTGGCAAATTTATCTATTTTTCAAACCACTTCTAAATGGTACTTAGATCTTTCAGATTAATTTACCCCTTCTTCCTCAGGTTCACTCCTGTACAAGCGACCCTACAGTTGCTTCACATTACCCTACACACACACACACACACACACACACACACACACACACACACACACACACACACACACACACACACACACACACACACACACACACCAACCTACTATAACAAGTGATGTCGACCTGGATGGACACATACCTGGATTGCCTGAAACTCATACCCATCGTAAGTACACACGTCACCATCAGGTCCGAGACAGTTTCATATCAAGTACTACATTGTTCTTCTGTCTCTTGTGAGTAAGGTAACCCACACCTACCTTACTCCTGCTATCAGTGGTGAAATATTATATGATTGCTTTGAGTACTTCGTATTCTTCCATTATATAGTGCTTGCAACTGTATTATTCTCGGCCCTGTCTCCCTGTTGTCTATAACTCGAGAATAGGGTTTGTCGATTTGCAACAAACTTTATGGGTTTGATCATCATGTGACAAGGTTCACATAATAAATTTTTGGTGCAGATTACACAAACATTGACCAAGTGTTGCTTTCGTAACGGTTCGCGAAATAACATAAAAGGTTTTTCGCAGTTAAAGAAAACGATGCCATAAGTTTCCAGCGGTGACTACGTTAATGTACAGGAACAGCGTCACTAGTTTCGATTTTTACCCTCCCACGGTAACGGGTCGTGAGCAGGGTTTGCTTCCTCTCGAATGATGTTAAAATGTCTACTGAGTTCGTCCTTACATACCAGCAATATAAATGTTACCTGGAAAGCGTCGTTTAATAGTCCACAGTAACACCAAGTCTGGGATAAAAATAAACACTTTGATACGTATTTTTTATTAGCTAACGTTTGTGGTTATTGCAGTAACCATCATTAGAACTCCCTAAAAATATATATAACTGTATATACAAATGAAACACAAGTCTATATTAGTTTACAAAAGTAAATTCCATGACTTCATCCTAATTATCACTGGAGAGAAGTTGAACCGTGAAGTTAAATGCAGTTATGATAACAACAGACATCAAGTAATTATAAGATCACACATTGAAGTTAAATTAAATACAAGGGTACAGCAGCCCGCTACTCGAGAAACAGGAGTTCAGCTGACTCTTCTTTTCTGGTGATCGTTGGTTATTCTGCCATCGTGAGAAGGGACTATTATGCCCAGTCTAGCACAGGTGGTCGTGCTCGTGGCTGTGGTTCCTGATCGCTGAATAATGCTATTTGGAGAGGAGTTTCGCTCTATACTATCGTTCCTTATGTACAGTACGTTACGTACGACGTATACCATTTACATAAAGTTGTTCTTATAGTGAAGCAGGTACTGTACTATAATGAGCATAAAATGTATTTTTGGTGACAAAAGCGTGAAATTTGACACACTGGTAGAATGTGTCATAATGAAGATTCTTGGCTACAGGGCCATTAGTTTTTTCATGACACTAATTGCTCCAGTGCTTCAAGATCTCATCTAGACCACCATGGCGCGCGCGCACACACACACACACACACACACACACACACACACACACACACACGAGTCTAAATAAGCAGTAAAACCTGCAATATATTTTGTGTGGTGAGCTCATACATAATATATTACAACAATAGCTCATTATTTTTAATGTTTCTAAATTTTCTTTATTTATGATATTACTGAATATCTTTCACGTCAGTAAGGTTTAGTCATTTGCTTTTTGGGGGATGGACTGAAACTATGCTTTTTCGTAGCCATGTAATCTTTCTTGTCATGGTCCAAACAACTGATGTGCTCTACGGTGAACAGGGTGGCCATGTCGTTGAAAACCCCGTAGCCACCCACCACACTGAAAATGCATAGTTATGTTTACCACACATACCCTAAAAACTTACCCGTCCTCAATGTATAGTGGTGGTAACATAGAGAACCATCGCTATTCGTTTTAGTGGTGCTGTGGTGAGAACAACTATTGTGTCATACACTTTCCAGTAAATAGAGAGGGTAATTACGTATTGGTCGCACCAGATGCTACGACATCACCTCTCTGATGACATTCGTCTTCCCCCGAGATGTAACTGCTAACTCCATCAGCTTTGTTGTCCTCATCACTCACCTCATATCGTACTTCCTCGAAAAACACAGCTATTTGATGATAGCGTAACCTCTTGGAATTGGTTACCTTTTTGTTAAATTGCAGAAACGTTGTATATGAGTTTAAAGTATTTCGTCTCTTACACATCTATAATGATTGTCTTTCAGACCAAAGCTGTCTAGCCCAGAAGAACAACAACACATATAGCAGTAACTAGTGGACAATGTGTACACCTACCTATGTTGACCCACCTACAGTAATGAAACGGGATAAATATTTGACCCAACAAGAGACACGAAGGAACAAGGAATTCTCGCCTTCGTGATGACGAGAAAACAGCGGCTATGAGCCTGTTAATCCAATAAACGCTGCCTCCAAGCGAATAGTCAGAAAGGGTCGTATCACGAACTGGCCTACAGTTAACAGGAAATGCCACCATAAACTAACGTAGATAAGATCGGTTTGTGAAAATAGGCTACGGGGACCTGGAAAACCGAATAAAAGGAGCCAACTGTTCATTCTCAGGGGAGATAGAGTCACACGCAGGCCTGAGTCCTGGATCGGGAGGAAGACCAGTCCACCCAGCAGTACCAGGCCCTGCAGTCAGACGTCCCAGCTGCTGAGCCTCCCACAGGTTACACGTGAGTCATTGTCAGAGCGACCCAAGGGTGAATACTGTGGTGGGAAGTGTATCCATGCCAGGTTTATATCTATAGGTGTTATTATCTGGTAAGGACAATATATTGAACTGTTACTGTGTCCCGTGTTCAATCAATTAACTAATGAATAGCTGTACTTAGGAGTGTTATTTAGAAGTTGCCCCTTGAGATCATATTTATAATGGATAACTATTGTGCTACGCTACCAACTTCCCTCACTTTGCAGTCCCTCCTACTCTTTGTAATGCAATAGCCTTACACTTAAACGCCCACGAGAGACCACATCCACCACAGTGCTACAGCCGCATAATATTAGCTGCAAGTCAACAAAATCACAAGTGAGGTTCATTTATCCCTTTATTTTATATTTATCTATTTACGCTCTTCTTTATTCTGCATTTATATTTATTATTATTTTCTACTTTAAATTAATTATATTCTGCTCTATCTTTAATATTTTTTTCTGGAATTATTTATCTTACCTTTAGAACCAAGTATAGGAGTGTGGTGTGTGTGGGGGGGGGGAGGGGGTGTAACAGTCACCTTTCCGACTTTGTGTAAACAAAGGAAGTTGGCGGAGGTACGCATACACCACGCGTAAAAACTTTATTTTAAAGAAAAATAATGAAATATGATAGTTTTTATTGATAGATTGAAATTAAAATACCTTTCCGTTGTATTATATGATCAACATTCGCCAAATATTGCACGCTATTCTAAAAGTAGTGTTGCCCTAGTGAACGTAGGGCCGGTTTACACACTTAAGACAACTCAGTAGTGGACTTAAGTTTCCAAGATCCCAGACTAGTGAAATTAACTTGCATTGTGCATATGGTCTTAGCTGAAACAGAAGACTTAAGTGTGCTAGCATAGAGTTAAGTGCGCCAGCAGAGAATTAAGTGACTTAAATATGTTAGTGCACCCAGGCCCTGGCTTCTCCCAAAGTGGCTAGTCCCCTATCTTTGAAGGATTTCGACATCAAAGAGGCTCCAAAAACACTACATACTAAGCGTACGATATATGTGTCATCAACAAAACTAGAAGAATCGAAATCAGTAAATTGGTGGCCGACATAACGGCCATCACTTTTCAGACTCTTAGAAACCAACTATCTTGTATAATGTATCAAAAATCCTTATGCGAGCTGGCTACAATTAAGTCCCTGGCGGTAGCCAAGCGGGGCACGTTCAGGAGATCAAGCGAAAAAAGGAGGCGTCAGAATAACGTCAAGCCAAACGCAAGTACTTGGAAGAAGATTAAAAGTTAAAGAGAATTGCCGAGTTGGAGAAAACTTTGCTGTCACAACAGACAGGTGTCGGCCAACAGAGAAATAAAAATTCTGGCCGAAAATATACGATATAAAGAATACCTTAATCAACAACAACAAAGTTAAAGTATCGTTGCTGAGCGCACAATTACTACCTGTTAACGTCATTATGGTTGAAGACATCTACTAACCTGTAATCTCACCTATGTATCGGTAGAAAATGCTCCACCTTAGTCATTTTTTCCTTCTTTGAGGGATGAAGTCTTAATGGTGTAGATCCACAACAGCAACAGCCATCAACTTCGTATTTTCCTCAGTTCTTTTATGTCGATGACACAATAACAGTGCAACCAACTCTACTTTTATGACAAATGATTCAGTTGTAACGGAACCCTTCCTCATTACCAACCATTTCAATGATTACTTTATCAGTGTTGGCAGAAATTTTGCAGAGAGCATCCCTGATCACCATGAGGAATTTAGAGCCTACCTGTAAAACAGACAATACAATAAGTTGTTCTTCTACACATTTGTAACTCCTCCTTCATCAGTGGTGTCTATCCGGATAAACTGAAAATTGATACTGTTCACCCAGCATATAAAAAAATCTGGTTATAAAGGTCTCTTCAAGAACTTACTGCCCCATATCAGTCCTCCCAGCCTTAAGATAGATACTGGAGAACCTGGTATGTAAAAGACTAAATTCCTTCTGCAGTGACTATAACATCCTTATAGATTCGCAGTTTGGATTTAGAGCTAGAAGGTCAACTGAGAGTGCCCTGCTGTCCTTTACTAATGGCATCTTGAATTATTTTGATGACAGTCAGTTCACAGTCAAAATATTCTTGTACCTCTCAAAGGCCTTTGATACTGTCGACCATACCATCCCCTTGTCAAAGCTCGAACATTGCGACGTTAGTGACTTATCCCACAATTCGTTTACCTCTTATCTGTCTAACAGGAAGCAGTATGTCTACTGTAACAGTCACTAATTTGACTCCTCGCCTATTTTGTATGGCGTCCCTCAAGCCTCCATTTTCTGCCCAATACTGTTCTTGTTGTAAATAAATGATAATAGTCCTCTCCATCTCACTCATAAAATGCATTTTATTTGCAGACGATACACTGTCACACACTATGGCTGGGCCTCCGGCACCACTATAACGCAACCCCTGGTCACTACCCAGAAGAAAGTTGTGCATACAATGACCTACAATACTTAAAATAAGCTGATCACACAAACTAAATTAAAAATATTAAAATTTGAGAATATTAACACTTACTGCTGTGCTCTATTTGTTTATAAATCAGTTAATCACTTGATTGAGAGTAATTATTTTCAGTTCTGAAATAACCAGAGGCACAGCTTAAGACACCCAAACCTACAAAGACCATCCCCCATGTGCTCCACTCAGTCCCAGACCTCCATAAAATATCACTGTGTGAAGGTGTGGAACAACTTACCCCCACCCATCAGATCAGAGACTACGCTCCCATTGAATCATCTCTTAAAAAATATCTATTGTCCAAGTATTAGTATTTTTGTAACACTTACTTTTATACTTGTACTTTTTATGTATATTCTCGTTCAACATTCTTCGAACACTGCTGGAGACAGCTGGCAACTCAAGGCCATTTGTTTACTATATAGTAAGTAGTAAAATTTATGAATAAATGTAAAAGTGATTGGTGATTGGTTACTTAGTTCCCCGTTGCTTAATTTTATGGTTGGGCTTTGCTGTTTCGTATTATATTATACTACGTACATACTATAGTAAACAAACGGCCATGAGTTACCAGCTGTCTCCAGCAGTGTTCGAAGAATCTTGAACGAGACTATGCCATCAAAATTTGCCCCGCGAAGGGGCTAGTTTATTGGGCACCCCTTGCTTCCTGTGCAAGGCGAAGGGCACAAACGTTTACAGCCCCAACAGAGAAACATACAGAGTTTATGCTTGCCTTCATGACTCATGGCACGCAAGTGCCTGAAGAACCATGGGTTTTGTCAGGAAGTTACATATAGTGACAGGATGATGGGTGTGGGGGGGGGGGAAATTCCCGGTACAATTTATCTGTATATGGTAAAGCGTGGCAGGTCCCTAATAATGTCAAGTGCCAGGCCTGTCTCCAAGAGGGGGGGGGGGATATTTGGTCAGGGAGGGATGAGGTGTTGGTAACACCTGTTACGTGTACTAATCCAGATGATACTAAATGTAATATAAAAATTCCTTGATGTTGATGAACAGTATATATCAGGTGCCACTAAGAGAGCTCAGGCTCTCATTTGGCTCAGCCATGTCAATATTGATATTATTGTCAACTCTGTATTTGTATTTTTCTGGCTAAATAAACTGTTTCAGTGTCAATATTTGGATCCATCACCACTATACAACAGGAGTTCAATACAACAAATATGAAAGCTAAATTAGAGAGCCTGCTGGTCCTTCATTTCAACCTTCATTTTTGGTATTCCATCATCATCATCATCAGTGCAGCCGATTCAACTCTATTAGTTAGTACCTGAAGGGGTTATGTCCAGTCACCGATGCTTATGAGATTCTTGTATAAAATATGTCCTTAATATAAACTTTTTTTTTAGCATTGGACATAAAATGGCCCCAAATTTAGCAGTCGGGGTCGTCTCCCTGTATTCAAAGTTTAAAGAAATTGAAAATGGTCGCCCCAGCGGCATAAAGCTGCCCAGAACTTAAGAAACTTCATCATTGTGCAGGTGTCGAGGTATATGTACAAAAAGCATGTAGCTTCATTGAGTTTTATTATGTCAAAAACTGTAGCAGAGTATAACATCCACATTATTTAGTCTGGTTATGTATGTACACATCGTTCAACAACTTCTTAGTTCACGTCGAACATTAATGACAGGCTACAGCAAAGCAGCAGTAGTGGCAGCAAAGTTATAAACTCTTCGGGAGGACTATTGTAGAGTTACACATCTCAGTCAAGTTTGTTACACATCTTAGTCAAGTTTGTTACACATCTTAGTCAAGTTTGTTACACATCTCAACCGAACGAGTTTGTTCGGCTACTATTATATTCTATGTAATATGCAAGAGTGATAATAGTAGTAGCATTATGAATTTTGTGACGGAAACCATATTGGTGAGAGAGTTGGGAGGAAGGTAGGTTAAGTGGGTCGGTCATGAACCAGGACTCGGTTTGAATGGTCTTTATTATATCTGTGTCTGTCTACATGTTCATTGGGGCGCCGGCGTTTATAGTAGATTTGGAGAGTGTTTCGTCGGTAGATGTTTCGCGGATATTAAAATCACGTGGTTGTCTGTAGGGTTGAATATCTTGGCCATGTTTGTTGTTGTAGTAGAGGTGAACACTTTACGTGTCTCCAACTCGTCGCCTTGATAGAGTTTCATTCGACGAGTCTTCTTATAGTATCATCTTTTTACTCTGGTATTGTCTGGTACCGGTAGTTGTGACGGTCGTGTTGTTGGCGGGAACAATAGTCGTTTGCAACACAGTCGTAATCGAGGTTTGAGTGTTTGATGGTAAGTGTTTGTAGTAATTTGTAACATCCCTAACATGGTCTTCTTCAACAGTATCAGTATTAATTCTTTTCGCTGGAACGAACTTGTCATTAATTATAGGAAAAGTGATAAAGTTGGGCATCCCATCGGCCACATTTGATACCACTGAGCATTTTTTTTTTAGTTTGTGGTGTCGTCGAGCGTACACCGCCTCTTACGATCACTTGTTGTTTCCTCGTCATCTTCTCGTGTGAGTTTCTGTGGTGTGTTCTTATGTTCCTCGTCTAATTTGTCTGGTTTATCAGAAAGGCGTCCAGCTTTTGGAAGAGATGGTGGCGATGATTGTTTCTTGGGTTGTTGAGCTTCTTCATCGTTATCACTTGCCGATGAAGATCCTTCGAGGGCACTGAAGCGTTTCTATCATAGGCCTTTGGTTTCTTGAGGCGGCGCTTAGAAACAGTAAATGAAGTATCATCATCGTCACTGCTATTAATGCTTCATAGTTTGGGGACTTAGACTTATTTTTGTGCCTGACTTTCTTGTGTGAACCTTTTTTTTTTGGGGGGGGGGGGGCTAAGTGTTGCATTCTTGGAAGGGATAGCATGTCTACCGTCAGTTTCGATGAACATCTCACCAACAGGGCATACACCAACAGCACTGGTAGCGGTTTCAACCAATTTGTCTCAGTCAGTTGGAATGTCATCCTCTGGAGTCGCGTCCGTAGCGTTGATTACCCACCATTGATATCCATAGTCACTAGATTCAACCTTTACTCTCTTGTCGCCCTCCATTACCGCCTTTCCCCTCTCGTCTACTTTTTCACCCCCTCATCTTCTGCAGGTGAGGGGATATTGTGGTCTGTTGGTTTTGGTGAGAATCCACCCATATCCAATGTTGTAAGGACCAAGATGTCCAATATTTGGTTGTACACACACACTAATTGGTTTGAGTCAGCTTCCACGTCAGTTAACACATCGGTGGACTCAGCAACACCACCAACACCCCCCTCCGATGTTAGTAGGGTGTTGGATTTGCTTTGGTACCACTCACATGACGCGAACTAGGTTTCGTTTGGGCACCCCCAATCTCGAATGTGCTTATTTATTGAAGACAGCTTTTATGTTAGTACATAACACCGAGTGTGAGCGACGGTACATGTTGTTGATTTGCTGAACGACAATGGTGTCACACTTCCTGCCAAGGGTTTCACTTCCAGATTTTAGATGTACTTGAGCGCTTCCAAGGCCTGTCACGATCTATTCTCAGCAACAGACGAGTATATATCGTTCGCAAACCTCCTGGAGATTTCTGGTTGGGCTTCGCCGCTGTAGCTGCTACTGCTCTTGCTACTGTTACTGTTGGTTCTGTTATTGTGTAGGTCATAATCCTGGTTAACGCTGACGTCTCATAGCAATACTACCCCCCTTTTCCCTCAATAGATAAAGAAAGGGTGGAAGAACTAGAAGGAGCGGGAGCAAGAGTTGGAGTAGTGGCGGAAGACAGTTCAACAGGTGTGTTTAGTGAGCTACTACTATTAACAGACGTGCACATTACCTTATCGTTGACACTACAGCTATGAATATCGGTGGGTGATGGGGATATTAGAAGAAGCGTTGAGCTTGTTGGTTGAGGGTGACGTGATGCGTCCCTAGCATTTGGTGGTCGGGGCGTCATCGTCTTGGACGCCACATCCATCTCAGCAAACTCCACCACTCTAGCCAGAATATCTGAAACCAAGAAAAACACCAAACAAGTAGAGTATAGATCTCCAACCACCGAGTTTTTAAGATTGTAACGTTTTCACTGCATATATCAACTATACACAACACATGCAGAGAGACGATGCCTGGGCTGAACCTAGACTTACAGTGGATAGCACAGTAGTAGTTCCTACTCCATTACCAGCAACAGAAGAGTTGAGGGTGGTTGGTGGTGCTTCTGTAACAGACAGAGAAAAATTATAACTACCTTCCACTTTTTTTTTTTTTAATAAAGCATAACAGCAATTTTTCAACGCTCCACTACCGTTAACACTCCCTAAAATGATGCACAGATAGACGATGCAACTTACTTGGGGTGGAGGTTTGCGTCGTCTCCAACATTACAGACAACGCCCGTATGTTGTGAGCGATGCAACTTTCTAAAAAAAGAGTTAGAAGAGCGCATCAGTAAGTAAGATACCAAAGACCAACTATAATACACTGTAAGGTTAAAACACACACATGCACACATTCTTACATCACCATAACATCAAATGTCAATGAGACTTCTCAAGATTAACCTCCGGCTTCAACGGTAGACGATGAACACCTCAGCCAAAAGCTACTTCTTCCTCGACTTCTAGGGTGCATTTGATAAAGCCAACCGTGAAGTGATCTTTGAATGCCTCACTCTCATGTATGTGAAGGGCAAACTCCTCATATGGGTTGCTGACTACCTCTCTCATCGACAGGCTCGTGTCCGTTTCCAGGACCACTACTCTAGGATCAGGACCCTTGATCTGGTCACGCCTCAGGGTGATGTCTTCAGCCCTGCTCTCTTTAACGTTCTCATAAACTCAATTTGCTACCTCAACTACACTTTTACTGAGCGCACTCTTGACGATCTTCTCCAAATAACTACCATGCAACATGAACAACCTATGCTCTTCACATTCGCCCGGACCTGTCACACACTCAGGCTTGTCATTTTACGCACTAAAACCAAGTTCATCTCGCACCCCTGGCGTCAGACCACGCTGGCGCTGCAAAGACAAGACATCAAACAAGTACACACCTACAGGTACCTGGGTTTATCCGTGCATGCCACTACCAGAGCCACCACCTCCGCTGTCGCTGCCCACGTCATCTCCCAGTGCCTCCAACGAACGAGACCCCTCCAGTCCCTCGCCCATGACCTCAAAGGAACCTCTGCCAGGGTCCTACGTCTCATGTACATTGCCATCATCAGAGTCTCCATAGATTATGCCTCTCCTGTCTTTGTTGTTGCCTCCCAGCGCGAGAAACAAAGCAGACAGAAAATCCAAAACAGAGCGATGAAACACATCCTCGGCTGCCCCACGACCACCACATTTGAAGTCATGCGATCGAATTACTGCCCTCAATGCCATCCTTGGTGTCAAACTTTTTCTCAGTGAGCAATTGACTCCCTGTCGCACACACTGCACTCACATCATAACACCCCCCCCCCTCTTGACACTGGCCCGGCCACGCTGCTGCTGACATCCTCCATTATCACTTCTACACCGCCCTGATCTCTCTCCCCTGGGTACACTCATCCGCCTCTACCGCCGTGGAGTTCCCCTAGTGTTCATGTGGTTGTCCACACCTTCCCTGGTCGTAAATCCATCCAGCTACGATATATACTCAAACTTAACTGCTTTGAGCAGATTTACGATGCCGCCTTCTCTCTCAAGACCTCCCACCCTCCTCTCCTTGTCTACTGTGATGGGTCTGTTACTGTTACCTCAAGCAGTAATGAGTAGGATAACCCTTAAACAAATAGTATGTTAAGTTGTAAGTTATGTCATGTTTATTGGGCGTGTCTGCCCGTATATAAAGTATCTAGTTAGTGGAGTTACAGAGACAAGGAGTAGTATGGTGCTGTGTGGTAGCGGGGAGGACTAGTTGGTATATAAAACGCCAGACTCAGCAACATGTGTTAGCCAAGGCAGGGCTGAGGCGAGCGGCTCCAACACTCTTGTTGCTGCCACCATAGGGCGAACACATAACCTATTCAGTTTGAGACCTTCAACATGTAAGTTAAACTTATACTTAAGTTTACTTAGGTAGACTGGTCCATTGTATTGCTTATCGTTGTGACAACATGGAAATATGGCAATTGGACATTTATATATGATTACCTACATGTGATTTATTATTTGAAATACTAAGAAAGAATTGTATTCAACAGGTTTGACCAAATTATAACGTTTGAGTTCAACATGACTGGTCTTACTCTCCCATAATCGCTCTAAAAGCGATTAAAGTTACCACGCTGGGCGGCGCTGGGGTAGTCGTGTGGATCCCTGAGCGCCAGGCCCGCAGGAAAATCAGGGTCTATGATTGGGCCTCCTCCAGTGACACTGAGAGCATAGCCATCCTCGCGGGCATTCATGAGGGCGCAACCTATGCCCGCACTGAACACCGGAACCACCTTATCAGCAGCGACAACAATTCTACAATAGTGAGGCTCAAGTGCTCCTCTCCTGCCGCTCATTACAACCTAGCCTCCTTTGCCGGGCTAAAGCAAACTGATGACATCCGTGTCAAGTTTATCCGGATCCTGTCACATATAAGAATAACTGCCTGTGACACGGTTGGTCGGCTTGCAAAAGAAGTGACACAAGAAGAGGACATTGAAGCCACCCTAGCCCTCTCCTTCAATCGTCTCAAATCTCGCATACACTTCGCACAACGAGAGGCATTCGATGAACAACCTCTGACTCGGTCTCAACAGATTGTGTATATGAGACTGCGCCTAGGATACAACAACCTATGGGAATACATTGGCATCCCTGAGCCTGGTTGCACTTGTTGTAAACATTGTGGCCAACCCGACTCTCACACCCTCTCTCACTACATCCTCACTTGCCCAATGACCTCCTCCTAAAAGATCCCCAGCTGTTACCAACACCTGACACGCTTTACGATAAACAGATGAATTGTTCGGGAATTTTCCCCCCACACACCCATCATCCTGTCGCTATATGTAACTTCCTGACAAAACCCATGGTTCTTCAGGCACTTGCGTGCCATGAGGGCAAGCATGAACTCCGTATGCTTTCCTGTTGGGGCTGCAAACGCTTTTGCGCTTCGCCTTGCACAGGATGCAAATGAGTGCCCAATACACTAGCCTCCTTCGCGGGGCAAATCTGAGCTTGTTCGGGATGGTATCCAATTATATCAGGGGCAGTGGCAACACAAGCGACACGATGTTGATGATGACTGTTTTTGTCGTTGTTGAGACTGGTAAGGAGTTAAATACTTACTGGTGGCTGTGTCGGCGACCGTTATTGATGTAGGTACTTGGTGTGTAATTTTCGATGTCATACAGCTTGAGGCAACTAACAAATCCTCAGATGTGCCAGTAGTTTCCAACTGTGGTACTGTACATGTCCTCCATCGACAGCACCGTTGTTAGAGGTGGCGGTGGTGGCAACGGGTGATGCTAGGGGTGTCGGGGCGCAGGAAGTGAGAACAGTGGTCTTCTTGATAACATGTTGTAATGAGACATTGTTTTCAAGCAAGTTCCGGTGTTTGATCGCCAAAGCGTAAGCCTAGTCGCACATTGAGAGGCAGGGCAGTGCAGAGCAGAGCAGACACAGGGCAGGGCAGGGCAGCACAGCATAGCAAAGCACAGGGCAGCATACTTGTAGGTGTGGTGCGCACATTGAGAAGTACTCTGTCGTTGTGAGTGGTACTCTCTCTGCTGTGCTGCCCATGGCTAGTTTACAATATTATTTAGATATGAATTCAGAATTCGACTCGAATACCGAAATGGAACATTTAATGCTACTATATGACAGCAGCAAAGGAAATAAGTCAGTGTGGAGAAGTAAGTATGCGGAGAAAAGAAGTACACACGGAGAATTTGCCTTAACATCAGAATTCTCTGATGCAAGATTTAGGAACGATTTTTGTCTTTATATTGGAGAGCTTCAGCTATACGTTCCCATATCTCATCCTTCAGTTTGCCCTTCATGTAATCACAATGCCTTGTGTTATACAAGACTCTTTCACTCCGTACAGCCTCTATGAGTTCTTCGGAGGACGACATTGTACTGACGGACACGTGCAGGCGTGGAGCAGAAATATGTTTCAAACACTGCGTTGCGCAGCCCGACACAGGCCTGTGCCTGTTCTGTGCTGCCCTGCGTCCCAATGTGTGGACTCGGATTTAAAATAACTAGATAAATTCCTCTCGTGAACAAATATAGTTGTGATCCAGATAATTTTTTAGAAATATAATGAATGTAATAAAATTACTAGGCTCAGAATAAACCATTTACGATGGGTAGTTAAACATGTAGTAAATTTCTTATGACTATACTTAATATTAATATCTACAAATAAATAAATACAACAAAAAAGTCATATAAAAAGTTAAAAGTAAAAATTACTGATACAAGAGAAAAAGTCTGAACACTGTGATGGCCTCAGACGTGTCGTGTCCTAATATATATATATATATATATATATATATATATATATATATATATATATATATATATATATATATATATATATATATATATATAAAATCACTGGAAGGTTCACAGGTAGGACACACTTGTTACACTAAGCCTGTATCTAAGGCTGACACGTCCGTAGACCTAAAAGAATAAGAACACATGAGAAACTTAGCGTAAGTTAGCTGGACATGATGAGACGAGATGCGCTGGAGAGGTCCACCACAGGTTGACATGTGTAAAAGAGAGTGCTAGAAGTCGAGCTGAGGAAATCTGTTGAATTCTGACGCTCCTTATCTGTGAATTGTCTTATAAAACCTCGCATTGAGTGGAGCTTGTGGCAGCGTGACTTTCGATTCTAAAATGTGATTGGTTCCCGCGGTGGCGTCAGCTAGTGTTCTGGAAACAAGTTGAAGCATGAGGATGGTGGTGGGAGGTACTGACTGCAGCCTCTCTGTCGCGCCGGGACTTGTAGATATTTCTGTACTGGCTGACAACGAGCAAGGGGATGATGCATTACAGTAAGGTGGTGGAGGACGTCATTGTTGCCTGTCTGGAGAAATGTGTTGATACAAGTCTCTTAAGGCGGTTATGAAACCATCCTATGGAGCTGGGGTGGTTGGTGGTGGACTTCGTGTTGGTATGGATACGAATGCATGTCGTGTGTGTGTGTGTGTGTGTGAGTGTCGGAGCAAAGATGGTGTGGGTACCTATGTGCGTTGAGATGCTGTGGTGGCGACGACGACGGCGGCGGCGGCAAGTGGGACGGCGGCGTAGGAGACGGCGGTTGTTGTTGCTGGGTGGCTGGGAACATTTCAGCAGATGACGGTTCGCGTACACACTGTTGGTTGCTGAGGTGTAGTATTAACGAAGTCTTCACACTCTACAACTAGAACCTTTGTATAGTGTCGGTTGACCAGAATAAAATTGACCCCAACTTTAAAAACGACCAAGAATAGCAGAGAACAGGATACAGCCCGTCTGAATGGTGGATGGGTAGGTTGTTAGGCAGGTAGCTTGTTAGTTCGGGTAATCGAGTTTGCCTTTTCTGAAGTTGGTAAATTTTTCCAAGATACAGCGACCGCCAGGCTATGATGGGTATATAGGTCGGTACAAACGGGTAGACAGGTTGGGTGTTGAGATTGTCTCCTTTTTTTTTTTAAGGGTTCGGTCCAATTCTTACACTGTGTACCGACCACACAGGTAGTGAGTTGTATATACGAGGAACCATTTCTCCCCTATACCATTACGCCGCGACTCGCGGCATATATAACAGGTGAGTAGGTTTTTATCATTAAAAATAACAAAGCCCACACATCTGGGGCGAACTAATGTAGAAAGTAGTTATTAACCATCCCAGGAAGGAGAGGCAAGTGGAGTGTGAACCATCCCAGGAAGGAGAGGCAAGTGGAGTGTGAACCATCCCAGGCAGGAGAGACAAGCGGAGTATGAACCATCCCAGGCAGGAGAGACAAGAGGTGTGTGAACCATGGCAGGATAGACAAAAGGTGTATGAACCATCCCAGGCAGGAGAGACAAGAGGTGTGTGAACCATCCCAGGCAGGAGAGACAAGAGGTATGTGAACTATACCAGGCAGGAGAGACGAAAGGTGTGTAAACCATCCCAGGCAGGAGAGACGAAAGGTGTGTAAACCATCCCAGGCAGGAGAGACAAGAGGTGTGTGAACCATCCCAGGCAGGAGGCAAGTGGAGTGTGAACCATCCCAGCAGGAGTATGAACCATCCCAGGCAGGAGACAAGTGTGAACCATCCCAGGCAGGAGGCAAGACAACCATCCCAGGCAGGAGAGACAAGTGGGTATGAACCATCCCAGGCAGGAGAGACAAGCGGAGTATGAACCATCCCAGGCAGGAGAGACAAGTGGAGTGTGAACCATCCCAGGCAGGAGAGACAAGCCGGGTATGAACCATCCCAGGCAGGAGAGCAAGTGGAGTGTGAACCATCCCAGGCAGGAGAGACAAGCGGAGTATAGACCATCCCAGGCAGGAGAGGCAAGTGGGTGTGAACCATCCCAGGCAGGAGAGACAAGTGGGTGTGAACCATCCCAGGCAGGAGACAAGTGGGTGTAGACCATCCCAGGCAGGAGACAAGTATGAACCATCCCAGGCAGGAGACAGGTGGGTGTAGACCATCCCAGGCAGGGAGAAGTGGGTGTGAACCATCCCAGGCAGGAGAGACAAGTGGGTGTGTGAACCATCCAGGCAGGAGATAAGAGGTGTGTGAACCATCCCAGGAAGGAGAGGCAAGTGGAGTGTGAACCATCCCAGGCAGGAGGGCAAGTGGAGTATGAACCATCCCAGGCAGGAGAGGCAAGTGGAGTAGAACCATCCCAGGCAGGAGGCAAGTGGAGTGTGAACCATCCCAGGCAGGAGAGACAAGCGGGTATGAACCATCCCAGGAAGGAGGCAGAGTGGAGTATGAACCATCCCAGGCAGGAGAGACAAAGGTGTGTGTGAACCATCCCAGGCAGGAGAGACAAGCGGGTATGAACCATCCCAGGAAGGAGGCAAGTGGAGTGTGAACCATCCCAGGCAGGAGGGCAAGCGGAGTATGAACCATCCCAGGCAGGAGGAGGCAAGTGGAGTGTGAACCATCCCAGACAGGAGACAAGCGGGTATGAACCATCCCAGGAAGGAGAGGCAAGTGGGTGTGAACCATCCCAGGCAGGAGAGAGCAAGTGGGTATGAACCATCCCAGGAAGGAGAGCAAGTGGAGTGTGAACCATCCAGGCAGGAGAGACAAGCGGAGTGTGAACCATCCCAGGCAGGAGAGACGAAAGGTGTGTGAACCATCCCAGGCAGGAGAGACGAAAGGTGTGTGAACCATCCCAGGCAGGAGACACAAGAGGAGTGTGAACCATCCCAGGCAGGAGGGACAAGAGGCGTGTGAACCATCCCAGGCAGGAGGGACAGGGAACAAAGAAATAAGAACGGACATTGTTTCAGTAGAGAGCCTGAACATGCATGACTCGGATGAAGGTTCGTGCATGACTGAGAGAGATAAACTGAGAAATAGAGAGTGAGACAGAGAGAGGGAGGGATGATAGAAAGAAAGAGTGTAAAAGAGAGGAAGAGAGAAAGTGTAAGGGAGAAAGAAGAGATAAAGAGAATGTAAGGGAGGAAAAAGAGAGACAGAGAATGTAATGGAGAAGAAAGGGAGAGAGGGATAGTGTAAGGGAGAAATAGAAGAGAAAGAGAATACAAGAAGAAAGGGGAGAGAAAGGGAGAGAGAAGACTGGCCTTGCAACACCGGAAGAATCGATTTAACCTTAAGTGTGTTGCCAAATTTAGGAAGATTTAAGAGTAATTTAGAATAGCGAGTTGGGAGATAAGTATTTTTCTGCACAGTAACAGAAAGAGAAAGAGAGAGAGGGAGAAAGAAGATAAACTGTGGAGTGAGTAAGGATAGTCAAAACAAAGTTGCTTCCTTTAACAATCTTTCCGTGCCTCTAAACACAAACACCATTTTGAACACATTGGTTCTCTCACTGGATATATTGCTACAGGTATATTTATTATAACTGTTGGCCACACTGATGAAATATAGCCCCTAAAAACAGCACTTACTGCGTATTGCGATAAGAATTTTTTTTAGTTTTAAACTGTACGTCATATTGTCTTGTAGTCCGTGAGAAGTAAAACGAAATGCAAATGTGTTTTTTTCTTTGCACAAGTTATGAGGCATTTAACGCCATCAGTACTAACATGAGGTTTGGGTCATGTGTGTAGATACTAACGACGCTTCACACTGGGGATATTATACTCAGAGACACCTTTACTTATTCCTATATGTAAAATGATGCTTTAACGAAGAGGGATAATTAACAGGTGGAGTAATGAAGTTTCAGGAATTCCTTGACTGAGAGGTCGTGTTCACCTCCAGCTCGAGACAGTGAGAGACACTGACCAGGAACTACAACAATATTAATATGGATGAGATGAAAACAAAATATCATGATATTAATATATGACATCTATCTCGACAAGGTGAGGAGGATTATATATCAGTCAGTTAATTAGTTGATCACTCAGGTAATGATTTAGTCACTCGCTGTCGGGAAGAGTCAGAATTGTGCTCATGCTATTTCTCTAAGGCAATTCTGAATGAATTTCTTCATGACCATGGATGAGCTTGACCAGACAAGAGGCACGGTGGAGGGTAGAGAGGCACGCTGAGTCACCACTACACCCTTGTAGCTCATGTATTCTTATGTGTACCCACTTGTCTTCTAACGTGTACTTGATCGTGTTGAGGCTTTCAGCCACCACAGATCATTCAAAGACTCTCTCGAAAGTTCAAAGCAAGTATTTTCCCCGTTGTAAAACTGATCTGTGACTTTTAAGTTAATTTGGGCGATATAAGTCAGTTAGATCTACCCAGTTACAAAGGAAAACAATAACAATAACAAATTCGTTTCTAACACATTCTTCATATTGTGTATAAAATTCTTAGTAAATGATGACTTTAACCGGCTAAAGAGATTCACTTCATACCTGTAGATGGGCTTGGTGACCCCTTGTTTGTACCAGAGGACGAGAAGGGCTGGGTCAGCGGAGAGTGGAGAGGTCAGGTTACAGGGCAGGTCGGCCACGCCCCTCTCAGCCACCACTACCGCCCGAGTCGGACCTGAAAGTAAGGTGACAAGGTTTAATATCACTGAAGCAGAAGTACAACAACACGCTAAACACAAGCAGTAGGCCAGTGATCACATAGGTAGGAAAGTGGCGTTTTTTTACGATAATGAGATTTATGATTACTTGTTTATTTGTTTTAATTAAGACAGGGCAGACGTAAGGAAAATTCCACTAAAGTACCAGATTTCAGAAGGGCAAACTTTGGCAGTTTAAAAAGGCAGCTTAGAGAGGGGGTGTCGCGCTTGGCCGTGAACCTGACAGATGACACCGACCAGATAACGAGATCTGAGATTGCCGAGTTCCACGACAATTTAAATAGTGAGTTAGTTAATGCACAAAGGCAGAACATACCATACAAAAAACTCAGATCAGACAACAATGACCCTAAATGGCTAAATAATTATTTAAAGAGCATCATTGGCCAAAGGAAGGCTATAGGTAGAAGGATAAATCGTGGCGAAATTCACCTCCGGGATTATTATAGGGTATTGGCGAGTAGGGTTAAAACCGAGATAAGGAAAGCCAAGAGGAATAATGAGGTAAGGCTAGCAAGGGAGGCGAAGACAAACCCCAAAGGATTTTACCAAATGTATCAAACTAAAACACGAGAAAAGATTGGACCAATACGGTCAGACACCGGTGAGCTCACTGATAACGACAGAGAAATGAGCAATAATTTGAATAAATATTTTTCAACAGTTTTCACCACCGAAAATTTAAACATGATACCCGGGGCACCGACTTTATTCAGAGATAGTGAAGAAAACAAATTAAGCGAGATAGTAGTGACTAGTAACGATGTTAGTAAGCAAATAGACAAACTAAAGCCTAATAAGTCACCTGGTCCCGATGAGATATTTGCCAGAGTATTAAAGGAATGTAAGGAAGAGCTTAGTATGCCCTTAGCAAAGTTGTTTAACATGTCCTTAAAAACAGGTGTAGTACCAGAATCCTGGAGGATAGCGAATGTAATACCGATTTTCAAGAAGGGGGATAGATCACTATCCTCTAACTACCGCCCAATCAGTCTAACATCAGTAGTAGGCAAATAACTGGAAGCAATCATTTCAAACTCTATTCGAAATCACCTGGAGAAGCACCGATTGATCAATGATTCCCAGCATGGCTTCACAAGCGGACGTTCATGTCTAACTAATCTATTAACATTCTTTTCATCAGTTTTCGAATCGGTGGACGAGGGGCACAATTATGATGTGGTATATCTCGACTTTAGCAAAGCCTTCGACAGAATCCCCCACGAAAGACTAATTAGAAAGGTAGAAGTACATGGCATCAAAGGTAATACCCTTAAATGGATTAGGGCGTGGTTACAGGACAGGAAACAGCGAGTGAGCATTAATGGCACTAAGTCCCATTGGAGCAACGTCACAAGTGGAGTTCCCCAAGGCTCAGTACTTGGACCATTATTATTTATTATATACATAAACGACATAGATATCGGCATAGACAGCAACATAAGCAAATTTTGCTGATGACACTAAAATAGGACTTGTTATTAAATCTGACGAGGACTCCACAAAACTACAGGAAGATCTAAACAAATTTTTCGAATGGTCTGAAAAATGGCAGATGAAATTCAACGTGGACAAATGTAAAGTACTCAGTATAGGAGATGTAAACAGGGAAACCAGATACCAGATGAACAACGATGCCATAGAGAAATCTGACTGCGAGAGAGATTTAGGAGTAATGATAAGTAGGAACCTAAAGCCAAGTAAACAATGTGTTTTTGCTCGTAACAAGGCTAATAAAGTACTTGGGTTCATACAAAGGAGTGTTAGTTACAAGACTAGCGAGGTCATCCTAAAACTGTATCTTGCTCTTGTGAGACCACACCTGGATTACGCAGTTCAGTTCTGGTCACCGTATTACAGAATGGATATAGAATCCTTGGAAAGAATTCAGAGGAGAATGACAAGACTAATCCCGGGCATTAGGAATCTTGAGTATAGAGATAGGTTAAAGCATCTTAATTTGCACTCCCTTGAGAGACGTAGAGCGAGGGGCGACCTGATAGAGGTGTATAAGTGGAAGGCAGGGCTAAACAAAGGGGACATTACAAAGGTACTCAAACTATCCAACCGGGAGCGGACTCGTAACAATGGTTTTAAATTAGACAAATTTAGATTTAGGCGTGAAATAGGTAAACATTGGTTTGGAAACAGAGTAGTGGATGAATGGAACAAGTTACCAAACATCATCATTAACTCGAATTCGCTGAATAGTTTCAAACATAGGTTGGATGCTTATATGAGCAATAGGGGTTAGGTGTAAACGGGACTGCCCAGTATGGGCCAATAGGCCCGCTGCAGCTTCCTCCAGTGTTATGTTCTTATGTTCTTAACTAATTATAATCACAGTTATGAAACTCTGAAATAAGAATATGTCAACTTTATTAGGTTATCCTTGGTCTAATTTTTCATGTTACCTGGAACACTGGGGACTTCCATTCCCTTTATATATGCTAAAGCTATGTGGACTTGTATAGCAATTATTTATCTGTGTATCTATCTATCTATCTATCTATCTATCTATCTATCTATCTATTCAATGGGGGTTCTTACGTCATATATGTTTTTTTTTGCCACACCCCATTGGTTGCTATCCTATAGTGTTAGGCGTTCGCTTGTGGAGGAGAGTCTGGCGTTTATGGCTGAGCCAAGCGAGGTGTGGCCACCATACTCATGGAACACAAAGCTCTCTCTGTGAAACACCCCCGTGGCATACTGATAAGCTGCACAGTCCTTACTGTGCGTTGAACCGTGACCACAAGGAAGAGAGAGGGAACAACATGAATGTTATTTTGGCATGAGTGTTATTGGCGATTTTTTTTACGGGGATTAGCCCACCCGGGCACAGGTCACTGACCCACATCGGGGCTTGCTGAGGGAGGGGGGAGGGGGCAAAAAATAACCAGAAATAAATATAGAGATGGAAAAAATTAAACAAATCATGAGTGAATAACGATATATATGTTGTGCTGTCGATGTAAGAAAAACAATTGAGACCCTGCAATTGTGTTTAAATGAGGCAGAAAGTCAGATCAGCAACCTGAGACTTGGTCACAATTTTTATGGTGGCATTAGACAGTAGAGTGTTATTGTTAATATGAGTGTTATTGTTGATGTGATTGTTGTTCTTGGCATTGAAATTCATCTCTAAGTGTTTCAGTTGATGTGGCTGTAGGACACTCGGACGAGCACACATTCATGTATGCCATACTTGGTTGAGAGAGCTTCCTTCAAACTATGAGGTTTGGTTCTAACTTCTTTGGGTAAGGTTTCTTATGTTAGAATGTTGTGCAGTTTTGATATCTCGTTCTGAGAAGACATTAAAAGGATTCTCCCAAGCTGCTGTGATTAAACTGTCCACCATTTGATTATCATTATGTGTCTTAGCTTTGTTGAAGTGGTTCACTGTCACCTCAATGTTCTCTTTGGTGTAGATGTGTTTGGCTCCTTGTGTAAGTTACTACCTGCAAACATCTCATGGTATATTATTTCTTACTGTGCCACAAGTTTATATCTTCGACAAGTGCCAATGTTACCTGCATTAATTTTCTGTGAGCGGTTGTCTGTTTGTTTGTTTCGATACATATCCGCCCCAATAGCTTCCTCATATCCTCAGTATATATAAGAACAACATCGTAGATAATTCCTTCTGTAAAAGGCAACAAACAGTGGAAGGATAACTTGTACAGTACTGTATACTCGTAAAGGTAAGGTTGCCAATTTCCCTCTCCATCTGCTGTGGTCAGAGCTTTCAGTAACAACACCAGTTGGATGAAGTTGTTACAATAATTACTGTCTAGACTTCACTTTAGTTCTTCAGTAAAAATACCATTCAGAAATATTTAATGACAATCGAAGCATAAAAAGCTTTTTTATGATCTCCATGTTGCTTAGTTTCTTTTTAAACAATATGATACACCAACGTTGTTAAATGACAGTTTCCACGGTCTAGGAAGTCTATCCTGGGGTTATGTTTCCCCTGAAGGAATTTATAGAGAAATTTGGGTACGCCAATATGAACACAGGACCCCTCAGCCAATAGACTATAATACATTTCTAAGGTATATTTCATCCTTTTCAACATAGAATAAATACTCTCATGGTACAGTATACCAATCAAGGGAAGTTGCAGTTGGTGTTTTTATGTGAAATAACTGAAATGCCTCTCTCTGGCTTTTTTCCAGACACATAGCAACACCAGTTCCACCTTCCCTTGATTGGTATGCGGAGTCAATAAGGTATTCTTTTACCTGAAATATATAAACTTAAGTTCAGAATGTGTTTCTTTAATTTTGAAAATACAATGTCTATTTACCCTGAGCCAAGATCTGATACACCATGTGGATGTGACGACTAGTTCTGAACTCAGTGTTAAAAGACAAGCAATGATTTTTTTTTATTCAACTAACTGATGCCCCATATATTAGTTGTGTATTTTATATCTAATATCTATGAATTCATGTTTGCCCATTGAGCATTAAGTTAAATTTATTTGGCATTTGGAAAGTGGATATTACAATAATATTCAAGCTGTGAAAAGTATTTTGTATTTGGTATCTACAGTACTGTAGGTGCCATGATCACAATTTGGGGAATTTTTAAGCGTGAAGATGCACTCTTTATGTATTAATATAAACACAGACTTTTGCTAAAATGATGCCTTGTACACTTTATGGTGTTACAAGTAAGGCGTTTTATATATATATATATATATATATATATATATATATATATATATATATATATATATATATATATATATATATATATATATATATATATATATATAAGTGTCTGTCTGTCTGTTCCTGCATTTCCATAGTTTTAAAGTTACAGAGCTGAAATTTGGTAGGGTGGGGCAGGTGGCCTTTGGTCAGGCATAAGGAATCAGACAGCTTACATTCTCAGTTATGAAGACGTAAACAGTTTACATCACCAGACATGTGGGAACAAACAATTTACAAAAAGGGTAAAAAGTAGAGAGTTTTTACCCCTAGGCATGAAGTATTAGCCACGATACAATTGCCCCCATATCCAGTGAGCGTTGTTCACGCTCCATAAAGTATATTTATTATTTTGTATGAGAAAATATGACACAACGGACAAAGGACTTTGACAACTTTATTGAGGCAACAAGAGTCGCGGTGTTAATTTTTAAATTCATCGGATCCTCCGTAAAAGGTAATATACCTTTTGGAGCCAGAGATGAATCTCTCGTTTAAAAACACACTGAACACAAATAGGAGACGAACAACTTACCGTGCTTGAAGGGAGGTTCTCTTGCACGGTTACCTTAAGCACGGTTGGGATCCCCCAAGAGAAAAAAATGAGATAAGAGCTTTTAACACAACTACACAGTATGCGAGGGTTGTGTATCACCATCACTATTATTTTATTAATGCTCGTTTAGTGGCTAACTATAATACCTTACAGGTATAGAACTCCATAAATGTGTGTCTATCAGGGGTGTGGAGTAGTGTTGTCGTGGCTGGCTTGCTTCATGTGAGCTGTATGGCTGAGAGGCTGGGTCGCGTGTGCCCAGTTACAAGTGATGGCATGTACAGTACATAGCCCAACTTAGCAGAGGTAGCACCACGTGGGCTCGGTGAAAATCCTAGTGAGCAAAAAAAAATTTTGTTTTTCACTTGGCCCCGTTAGTCGTCTGGCTTTCAGATCATTTTTCTTATTCAAATTTATGGGAAGAAACGTAATAAATTGGACTTTTTTCATACATATGTATTATGCAATATATATTGTGAAATTTACAAGAATTGTTTTCCAAAATATGTAATATAGCCTATATTATAAAAACAATCAAATTTGTGAAAAAAAATTCCGACGATGGACAGTCGGGATTGCATTGTAAGTAAAGTATAAAATACTTAAGAGCGTAATTTCGGGAATTAGCTCACAGTAAAAAAACGTCAGATAACAATTTAAGAGCATTATCAACAACATCAACCAAGCAGTAGGTAGTAGGCAGCTACCAAACAGGGAGGTAATACCGCCTGGGAAGATATTGGAAGCATAATGTATTGTCTAATGGTAGACCCTGCTGCCATATGGCATCACGAAAATTGTGACCAAGTCCCAGGTTGCTGATGTGACATTCTGCCACATTTACACACAGTTGCAAGGTTTCAGTTGTTTCTCTTACTTTGACAACACAACATACATACTGTATATTATTTTTCACTACTGAGCTTCTTTTTTTTGTATTCATTTATGGTCCTTTATTATTCGCCCCCACAGGCCCTTATTTGGGTCATTCACCTGTGCCCTGGTGGGCTAATCCCGTAAAAATAAAATAATAATAATAATAATAATAATAATAATAATAATAATAATAATAATAATAATAATAATAATAATAATAATAAAGCACGGTAAGGCACTGGTTCGGATAAACGATCGTTGGTAAAATGAGCGTCATATACGATTATATACACTTAGAATAGAATATATATATATATATATATATATATATATATATATATATATATATATATATATATATATATATATATATATATATGATTGTGTGTGTGAGAGATACGTATGTATATCAGTGCTCACATACTGTACACTCACGCGCTAACATTTATAGACACGCGTAATTTCACACAACTAAAATCACTACAAAGCTAAATTAAACACATATATAAGGTCAAAAGTCTGGAATTGCAGTCAAACAAAGATACAAACACACACACATATGGTTTTACCAGAATTTAAATAGCCAGTAATTTCATGAATATGTATGATTGATAGAAATACGTATGTATTATTCGATCGAAGCAATTAATAAAATTACCTAATTGTTAAATCATATGTTAATTTAGATTTATAAAATAATTTACTTGGGCTTTTTTGGTAATTTGATCTACCTCTGGATTTGTAAACCCATTTAGCATCTCTGCCGTATTTGTCCGGCAGATTTATTGCTTCCACTCTGGGCCTTCCTTCACATTGTTACACTTGGCATGTTCCCTAAAGCTGAGAACCTCTCTCCGGATTACTATCAATGGGAACAAGCGACTCGCTCGGTTTGACTGGAAGGAATTGGTGTCAGCGAAGCCCCACAGATTACATTACCAGCATTCCTATTCCCCTGCACAGCATCCAATTAAATGGTTGAGAGGTCGTTTCAAAATATATTAGAAGAGTTTCATGAGTAAAATACCCACTCAGCCTCTTCGTGGGGGTTGGTCACACCCCAAGCAAACAAACCCACTTGAACAATCCTATCGTGAAGGTTTTTTTTTCCTTCAGAAATCCTCTAAAGGGATTCAAATGACCTGAAGAGAGATTTGTCTGCAGGCGATGGGTGCCCCTCAAGCTGAAGATTTCTACTAGCACCCTTAAACTTAGGCACTCGCCACTATCCCAGACATCCGTGCTAGAATAACCCATCGTCTTGTGGCCCCTGTCCACACTGTTTACAAATGTATCTTCGGCAACACGTGGGCAGACCAGCACAGGAATCACCCCATTCGTCTGTGGGACCTCCGGGGGTTAGCATGTGAGACACAACGACGTTAATGCCATCATCAAGAGGGGTGCACAGGAACCACAGATATAAACATCCAATAACAAGCACCCACATGGAATCACGCTGGTCCCCTTGAAGGATGGTAAATAGCAGGTGTGTAATTATATATGTATTTTCCCCCGGCACCTACCTATCTCTCCCAGAGTGCAGCTGGAGCAAGGAGGGAAACAAGCTCGAGGCAAAGTACAGGACGCTGAACCACGGATATTGTTTTCTCCCAGTACAATCAGAGACTCTGGGACTATAGGGTATCAATACCCTTCCTGACTGAGCTGATCTCCAAACTTAATATAGTCACTAGAGATCTCAGGCCATCGAGTTACCTGTACCAGCGCCTCAGCATAACAGTTCCGAGGAGAGATCTCTACCGTATATTGGGCTCTCTTCCTTAAACTGAGGAGCTTGAGGCAGTCTTCAAGTTGTGCTTGTAGCTCTTACTACAGCTTGGAACAATATATACAAAAATAGGAAATAAAAAATAAAAAGTAGGCAAAGCTGTGTATGAGAAGGCAATATTACGCTTAGTTCATAAAAATATCCCAACTTTCCTTGAACAATCCTTAGTTTCCTCTCTGAGGCGAAGGGTCTCTAATACAGAACCAACCAGAAATGATACTCCCCTGCATGTATAAACATACACGGTAAAGTCCCATAAATTCGATGTACCATACTAAAGGATCAAGTGAATGCCTTTGGAGCAAATATTTCAAAGAGCTGACAGTATGTTTTTCCTGAGCCTGATGTGTACAACAGAGTTAAAATTCCAGGGATTACCATCAACACTTCTTAAGATGTAGGAAATTTATGAAAATAAGTTTATGTATTTCCTTTCTTGTAGAACGGCATGACTAATGTAAGTGTCAGGGATATTATAAGAAAACAAATGTCTTACGTGATGTATGTCATCCTGTTTCTTATAATCAGCTGACCTTGGTGGTTAAAATTATTTAGTTTTTCTTTTTTCATCCAGTTTCAGAATAAAGGCCAATTAATCGTGATGTTTAATTTTGGTAGTATACAGGATTGTATCACCGTACTAAATGACACGCCTTTCTCCACACACTTAGATATTTCAATTTTCTTAATATAATCAATATCACACGTGTCCTTTTTGGAAAGTCTAAGCCCTACTGATGATGCTGTACGTCTTTTGGGTGACATTATGTTTAAGTTTACCGAAGTATAAGCTGGCAAAAATACAATAACCTCCACCACAGACCAGACGTGGTAACGACCCTCTGTTTAAAAGTGACCAAACCACAATAACGAGCCGTTTCTCCGTCGGTAGCTCTGTTGGGGACCTCTAGCCCTTTAACTTCGATCGAAGTGCGTCTGGGGGACACCACAGACGACAGATTTTGTTCCGTTATCTAAGAATAATGATAATAATACTGTATGTCTGTAAAAAATAGCTTCATTATTTCATGGAAAACAAATATTCTAGGCACAATAATAATCATCATAACCTCATTTAGTGTATCATGGGCTCTGCAGAGACGTGAAAGCCCTCAAAACGACAGGGAGAATATTATAAAAAGTGGAAAGTTTAAAATATTGTGAGATGCACAAATAAAAAACGCAGACCTTGCAGTAATCGTCGGGTACTGTCAAAACACAGATCCAGCGGTAATCAACGTCAAAAGGCGAGCAAACACGTATCCTGATTTTTTTGTTACGTATGCAAATCTTCTTATGCCTTTCAAACCATAATCTTTATAGAGATGAGCTATTCATTTTTAGGAATATATATATATATATATATATATATATTCCTAAATAACTCATCTC